TTTTGTATCATAACTGTTATTATTTATTTTAATTACATTGAGTAGTTTTACATTGGTTTACTACTGAGTAATGCTGGTCATTATGAAGAAAGTCAGGCATATCTGGAAAGTGCTCGTAGATTACAAAACAAGTGAGCTAGTATATACAAATCAAGAGAATTAAGGCTGGCTATGTTTGTTCTTGTATCTGTTCATTAGGTTTCATGGAAGTCAATCAATTACTGTAGCCACAATGTTAGTAATGATAAGATACATGTACATGTACATCTTATCTTATCGTTTTCTCATTGTTTTGGCTCCTCCTTCCCTTCCCCCTCTCTCTTTCCCTCTCTCTCCATCCCTCTTTCTCTACCTCCCTCCCTCTCTTCTCTAGTCATCATCTTCTTGCCAACTCATTGACTCACATTGGAGCATTTGCTGAAGCTAAGCAAAATAAGAGAAAAGCATACAATATCTATAGGACTAAAGTATGCAGTAATGTTAATGCCAGGCCATCTAGGTTTCTTAACTGTTTTCTCTCACAATTAGTTTGGCCCAGATCATGCACGTACTGTTCAGTCTTTTAAAAAACATGAGGTATATCACTGAGAAGCAAGTCTCTTATGAGCAGACTGTAAGTGTATTTGGCTAACTATTGCCAATGGTTCATTACCAAAATTATCTTGTTCATATGTTGTCTTCATAAATTATAAATAATTATTGTTTCGAAAAAGAAAAAATTAATAGCAATGCCAAGTGTAACTATTTGTAAACACCCAAATTCACACATGATGCGAATATCAGTAGCCTGAGCTAATTATTGTAAACACTTGATCTTTGTATATAGTTATACATACTACTGTATCAGATATTACAGGTACCAATATTGCACACTCAAAAATTTATGTTAATGCCGTCACCATAGTATGAAATTAATGTGGTAGAAATTTAGGTTTCAAAATTTTGTGATCTAATTTTTACGTAGTAAAATTATTGAATATGGCATGTAATTTTATGTGTGATATAAATTAAAGGACAAAGCTGACTATGGCATGGTACAGCTTTCAGCTGTGCAATGCTTTTGCAGATACAAGTCAGCTTGATTTTATTATATAATTGTTTTCCCTCCACTCACGCCCTTAAGTGTACATGTCCTACATCTTTTACCTTGCATGTGTATGCTATGCACCCTAATGCTCAAAATAAATAAATGAATTAATCCAACAAGTCATACAAGGCTTGCCTAAGCTGTGACTTAATAATCACATGCATTCCATCGTGTCTACATGTATACATTTAATATGCCTTTTAGTCAAACTTTGTTGAATCCATCATTTTCTAATTATTATAATTTTGATGAAATTTATCTCATTTAGCCTGAAATAAATTTTGCTGTTCATTCACACTATGACACTCAGTCTATGTTAGTGGCATGCACTTGCACTGACACTATATACAATACTTCTCACTTTATTCAACACTATTATGACAATATGTAGTGACACAGGCTGCA